TCGAATAGGTAGTGTGAATTTGTTTTAGATTTTTTTTATTTTTTATTGTTGAACCATTTTTTTTTTCGCAATGGGAAAAGAGTTGAGTTTTTATTCCATCTAACCTTTTCTTGTACGTGTATTCAATTGATTCAAACTAATTATATGAAAATGAAAAATCTTAGAATCTGATCTATATAAATCAAGTAAGTTTAAGGGCATGTTCTCATTGACTAAACTCAACTGAACTGAACTGAGCTAAAGTGAATTGAACTGAACTGAAATGAATATTTTATAAGAGAAGAAAATTAAGAGCTGAACTAAATATTTTATAAGAGAAGGAAATTAGGAGCTGAACTGAACTGAACTGAGCTGAACTGAACTGAATTGAACTGAACTGAACTGAATTTCAACGTAAGAGAACAGGCCCTAAGGGTCTGTTCATATTTACTGAACTGAACTGATTGGAGCTGAACTGAACTGAACTGAACTGAACTGATTGGAGCTGAACTGAACTAAGCTGAAATGAATATTTTATGAGAGAGTGAAATTAAGAGCTGAACTGATTGGAGCTAAGATGAACTAAACTGAATTGAACTGATTGGAGCTGAACTGAACTGAACTGAAAATAAGTAAATATGAACAGGCCCTAAGTCTTTATCAACTAGACAATTTCATAAGGTTGATTTTGACTCGATTTTTTTAGGTAAAGAGAAGACGTCTTATTGAACTAAGATATTGTTCATATTTACTGAACTGAGCTGATTGGAGCTGAATTGAATTAAGTAGAGATGAAATGAATATTTTATGAGAGAAGGAAATTAGAAGTTGAACTAAAGTGAGCTATACTCTTTGGACCGAAACTGAACTAAACTATACACGTTGGAGCTGAATTGAACTGAAATTAAGCTGGAATGAACAGACCCTAAAACCTCTAACAACTAAATGTAACTTGGCTCAGAAAATATATTGTGTATTCATTTGCGACCGAATGAATGATGTTCCTTTCTTGAACATGTCACATAATAAACAACTCCTCCCTAATTGATTAAATAATACGAAATCAAATACGGAGTAATTAATTACAGTACTTAATTAAATTATACCAGTACTAGTGTACTATACTCAATTGCTTCATATTAACATGATTATCCATAAAATAATACTCCCTCCGTTTCAATTTGTTAGTCCCATATACTATTTTTGGCGTTTCAAAAAAATCTACTCATATTGAATATATTCCACTTTTAACTTAGTTTTTGTTTCCTATTTTATACATATTAAATTATGGTTGGCTTAATTAATTGATTGTGAATTAATGACATGACTTTAATTAAAGAAATTATTCCCCTGAATTATGCAATTATGTTTGACGTTTTCCTAAAAAAATCAAAACAAATTAAATAAGGCAAAACTATTTATGATTTTTTTTTACTTTAATGTTAGATTTTAAATATTCTTGTTTTCTTATTTTACGTGATTGATTCTATATGGAACTAATAGAGAGAATAAATAAAAAATATCTAAACAATCCTTTGAAAATATCAGCTTGCGTATACCAAACCATTTCCCAACCCCCTTACGCCTTACCCCACCCCATAATCTCTCTCCAATCAACAACCATTGATCATTTCAACACAACACGTGTCAAAATCACACCGGCTCAACGTCCCAATCTTCTCGGCCTCATCAACCCATCATATAACACCACACAATACTCCTTCCACTTTCTCTCTCCTCTTCCTTCAATGGCGTCGTCTCCTCTTCTCACTTTCTCTCTCCTCTTCCTCCTTTCTCTCTCCTCCGCCGTCGCAACCTCCACTTCCGATGACGACATCTTAATCCGGCAAGTCGTCGCCGGAGAAGTCTCCGGCGAAACCTACACCGCCGTCGAAAACAGCAACGACGATCTTCTCTTGAACGCCGATCATCATTTTTCTCTCTTCAAATCGAAGTTTAACAAGAGGTATTCATCTCAGGAAGAACATGATCGTCGATTCTCGATTTTTAGGGCGAATCTTCGTCGTGCGAAACGTCATCAGGCGATTGATCCTACTGCTGTTCATGGTGTTACGAAGTTTTCCGATCTTACTCCGAAGGAGTTTAGAGAGAAGTACCTTGGATTGAAAGGAGGTAGGAGGAAGCTTCGACTTCCTTCTGATGCGAATAAGGCTCCTGTTTTGCCTACTGATGGTCTTCCTGAGGATTTTGATTGGCGTGAACATGGTGCTGTTACTGAGGTCAAAAATCAGGTATTCATTCTTGAAATTGATTGTGATTTTTTGCTTGTTTAATCTATTTTCAGCTTTATTTTCCTGTGATTTTTCTGTGGAATTATCTTCTGAGTACCTGATTATTTTACTTTTTGATGTTGTAAAGTAGTATAGCTAATTTTGTTAGAGAATCAACTATTAAGCTGTGAAAAATTCAATCAGTAATGAACGAAGTAGCTCAAATTATACTAATTGTTTAATCTTTTTGCAGCTTTAAATTTCTGTGAATTTTGTGATTTATCTGTGGAATTATCTTTTGATGATCTGATTATTATTTTGATGTTGTAAACCTTTATTTGTTGATAAATTTTGCGAGAATTGTTATTATGCTGCGAAAATTAGATAAGGAATCAACGAAACAATTCAAAATTGTTTAAAAAGGGGCGATGATATGATAGTTGATTTTGATGATGATATTTAGTAGTTTTAATACTCTTTGATAGTTTAGAGGAATGATAAATAGTTGACTTTTATATTTAAACAACTTTTATAAATTTTGGTTGTAAATGGATTAGTATAACTGCAACTTGATATAATGTGTCTTTTGTGGAAAAATTTCAGGGTCAATGTGGATCATGCTGGTCTTTCAGTGCCACAGGAGCATTAGAAGGTGCTAATTATCTTGCAACTGGTAAACTAGTTAGTCTGAGTGAGCAACAATTGGTGGATTGTGACCATGAGGTCAGTGCTCTTGCTGTTTCTTCGAATTCAGTTTTCTATATGTGTATGCTATGATGATTATTAGCTTAGGATAATTGGATGCTAGGTTTCTCGATATTTTTTCGTGGTGGTAAATATATGCTTATGATGTTATGTACTTATGTAGATACATGGTCTTGTTTGATGATGTTTTAATGTTTATGTTGATATAGTATAAGCTAATACGAAGTATAAACTTATTGGTTGCATATGGATGGATGGATGGATGGGTGTTAATTTTATTAACATTATAGTCGAAAAATATAAGCTTATGATGTTATAAAGATAGGGTCTTGTTTCTTGATGATGCTCTATAAAAATTACTCCGTATTTCTTAGTTGTATTCCCAATTGTTTCTTATATTTGAAGAAAGGTATCAAATTACAGTCCTAATGTAAGAGAGTTGTCAGTTGTATATTTTTCGCTAAGTTACTATGGCTTTATGGGACTCTATGAATGAGCGTAGAAAAGAAACAAATAAGGCATCTTCTAGGAAGGACACTGTGCAACCCTTATCCCACATGTTGTCTGTATATTGTTTGGGACTTTATACATCTCTGAACAGTAAAAAATCTTATTGAAAGTTTAAACCCCACCAGATCACCAGTACGCTTGTTTTTATTCCCCTTGAGCTTGTAACATGTGATGCATACATATTATTTGATGGGGTACTATGTCTTGCCTGAAATGTACAACTCAGGTTTTCATGCCTATATATGTACACCATTGATGTGCACATGATCTTAATTAGCTGCTCATGCTTCCAGCATTCTTACTTAAAACCAAGCTAGGTACTTTATATTAGTTTGCATTGACGTGGCCCTTGGCGGATACTGAATCCATCTGCTATGTAATGCTAGAAGAAGGGATTGACAGTAATCAGTAATGCTATTGGGACTTGGGAGTTTTGTACTTAGCGATCCATTTATAATATGTAGTCATAATTGCTTCTATGCTGCTCTGCCTTTTGTTTCTTTGAGCGTTTAGGACCAAGCCTTTTCTGCTTATCTTTATGTATTGAAGTGAAGGTTCTAATGCATTCTTCTCTTTTTGCAGTGTGATCCTGAAGAACGTAACTCATGTGATGCTGGCTGCAATGGTGGTTTGATGAATAATGCATTTGAGTACGTACTAAAGGCTGGTGGTATTCAGCGTGAGGAAGACTACCCTTACACTGGTACTGATCGTGGCACCTGCAAATTTGACAATAGTAAGGTTGCTGCTACAGTCGCCAACTTCAGTGTTGTTCCCCTTAATGAAGACCAAATTGCTGCCAATTTGGTGAAGAATGGTCCCCTTGCAGGTATAGATCTATGCCGGAATGTTTCATTATTTTGCCTCGTCTTTTTAAACAATCAATCAAAACGGTGTTGCTTAACTGGTTTTTCTTTTTGTTTGTTGCAGTGGGAATTCATGCAGGTGCCATGCAAACATATATTGGTGGAGTTTCTTGCCCATTGATCTGCTTGAGGAGTTTGGACCATGGAGTGCTATTGGTTGGCTATGGGTCTGCCGGGTATGCTCCTATAAGGTTCAAGGAAAAGCCATACTGGATCATTAAGAATTCATGGGGCGCTAACTGGGGAGATCATGGCTACTACAAAATCTGCCGAGGCCACAATGTCTGTGGTGTAGACTCCATGGTCTCGACTGTTGCTGCTGTGAACATTCAATCTACCCAGTAAATGACTATGTTGGCATTGTCCGTATTATTAGTGGACGACATCCATTTGTAAATACACGTTTGCTGCAATTCCAATTGCGGTGAATTTGTTTAAAGCTTCTACATTATATCTATCTTAAACTGTAGTCCTCGAGGAGCATTGAGTGACTTATATTAGGAAGCAAAACTGGAATCATATGTAACTAAGTACGCTTTTGGTTTTACGCTGCTTTATCCTAGCATTGTCGTGTTTAACAGATAAAATTGCTGTGTATGACTGGTGTATTAGTTTTGATAAAAATGCCCTAATATGCTATGCCTTTAGTTTCAGGGAGTGGCACGTTTTACTACGACGTTACATATTGTGAAATGTGAATGGCAAGGACTTGGAAAAATCACAAATAATAATGATTTAATAAATGACTATAATCGGTAGTATACAAATCTTGCCTGTAGATTTAAAGAACATGAAGTTAAGATGGAGCACTGTTTTAACTACCTACAAAACTTTACAAGATTAATCATAACTCGTCAGGTGCACCAAATAGCAAAATTGTGACTTGGCTCGAGATTTCATTGTAGGTAGCTTTGAATTACATGTATAGTGTATAACCAGCTTCTAGCGCGTATTCTATGTAGAAAGAATTTCCAGTATGCTTGACTTGTTTACATGGGATCCCACCACGCAGTGATGTCAATGTACATAATCTGCTATCAGCAATCAGGATGGCAACCGAAAATCAGACCTGCCACACCAGTAGATCTCCAACTTTGTTATACATAAACAACACAGATGCAAAGCCGGTTGAGGAAGTTGTCAAAGGTAATATTCCTAGCCCAGCAGCTACTGAACTCCAAAAAAGTAATAGTAGCATCACTCATCCTCGTCATCAAGACAAAATGAGAATGGTTGAAACTTATAACCATCTCCCTCGAAGAACTTATTCTGAAATTCTACCCAGTGAAGCCGCATAGCATGTAGAAATGCACTGAGAGTTTCCATCACTAATAGCACTCCAACAGTAGCAGATATAAATACAATAATACCAATTGCGAGGATGAACATGTTGTTATACCCCCAGGTCAGAAGTAGCACTTTATCAAAAAACACACTTGATAATTCTGAATGCGCAAGACTGCAAACAAGTAAAATAAAGTCATATAAACCTCCAACACATTTTCAATAATAAAAACAGCATAAAGTCTAGTATGAAGTTTATTATGGGACAAAGAGATTGTTAATAGCCTACCTAAGAGCCCATAAACGTAGATATGAAGCTGTATTTGAGACTGCTCCAAGCACAAATTCTATGGTGTGTATTAGTTGGTGAACAAAAATTTCACTGAACTCAAATTCATCATGCCCCCCGTGTGAATCATGCTCCATCTCAAAATCCAAGGAATCATCAGCATTATCAAGAAGTCCATAGGAATGACCTCGGTGTCTCTGAAGAAAAAAAATGACAATTTACAGGGTGGGACATCAGGAGAAGTTCTCAACATTGCAGTGTAAACAAAACTAAAAGATTGCAAAAGAAAGTACACTAATTAAATCAATAAGAAGTTGTAAAGTTAGCATACTTCTTCATGCTGCTTCTTCAAAATAAAAGGCTTTGGAAATAGCATCCATGGTACTGAAATGATGGCCAGCAAGAGTAACAGAATCTGGCAAGTCAGGGCAACAAATGTCAGAAGTCATGGCACCAATCAATCTTCTGGGAGGACTATGATAAAAGTATAAGACGTAAAGCAAGGTTACCTGAAAAAATTTCTGACCAAAAAATAGTTGATTCTCCCCAAGGTCATCAGTAGAACTAAGGAACATGTATATTAGTATATGATATAGATCAGCTTTAGATCCAGTGCACCATTTGATAATGATGAGGAGTGAAAGGTAGCCAAATAGACTGTTCAAAAATATGATCTGGGGAACAAACTGATACCTGGAGAAGCAGTTTTCACAAGAAGCATTGTCAACAAATGAAGGGACGATATGTGCATCTAACAACACAAGAATGTTAATTGAAAATTTAAGTCATTCTTTTGATTACCAGACATTCAGGTCACTTTTGAAGAATTTTGCGTTACAGTAGCTTAATATGATCCCAAGGTTCATGTGTGCCACTCCCAGAAGAATTGACATTTTCATCTTCAAAGAATTTAAAAATGGCAACTCACTACGGCTCCCGTGCCATACAGGATCCACCCCAAATGGGTATGTATCACGTACTTTTATCACACCAGACGTAGAAGCATCCCTGCCACATACATAGGACCAATTCATCAATTACTGATTTTTTTTTTTTTTTTTTTAAAAAAAAAGCACAACGCAGAAGGTCAAAGTTCCTACCCACATGAAGAATCACGGCAAGCATAGGCAGATTTTCCAAACAGCTCAAATGGGAGAGAAAAGAATTCATTATAAATCAATCCAGTGTATATAGAAAATATAGCCATCATCATGATTAAATAACGACCACCAAATGCCATCTGCATGATATCTCCAAGTTTCTGCTTGTAACAAAAGCAAACATAAATATAAATTAAAATTAAAAATATCATAAGTAATTACAGAACAAGAAAGGCAAGTTGTTGTGTTATCTAGCAAAAGGAAAAACAATCCCATTAGAAGACAAGTCCCTAAGGTAAGACAGGTTATAAAATTATATAGCTCCAGTATCACATGCTATACTGGGAGTTAAGCTACCTACAAAAATTTTTTATGGACCTTGGTATGATGACTATGATCAAGAAGCTTAAAGTTATGGTGATGTGGAGTGTGAAGCATTTAAAAGTTAACACTCAAATAACAAAAATCAAACAAATTTCAAAAATAGTTGCACATAAATCATACTCCAATATCAACTTCACTCTCAAATGTTAGTATGTTACACAAAACATTATAAATAGACATGATGATGATCCCATATCAAACAACTTCATTATAACTTGAATATGTTCATTGCAGAGAGTAGCAATCAATGTAGTTCATTTATTAAGAATCAATCATCATTAGCATCAGGATTAACCCAATGCCTTGAGCTCACACCCGTGGCAGAATTTGGTATTTGGAAGAGGGGGGGGGGGAGTGGGGTGGATAATCAATAAGCCCTTTATCTAAAACAACAATCTTTGGTGTTTGTTACTTGAAAATAATAAGAAAAGCACAAAGAAATATTTTCCAAGCGTTTTAAGTACATAATCCAAATTTAGTAGAATTGTTAGCCTACGATATTGGACATAACAAAGGTAAGACATTGAGAACAGTAAGCATTGTCAAACAAGATAATAGAGGCAATATCTAATAGACTAATTTATAAGTCTAACTCAAGAATTACCCTACTCAATCCAAGTCCCAAACACAGCTAGCAACTCAAATGGATTTTCACTTGTCCTTAAAAATTATAGCTTAATGGTCAAACACTTCTAAAAGTCCAAGTAACATAGATGAAACAAAATCATTACCAGGCCTCAAGCCTTTTTTTGGTGTTAATGCTTCAAAGATAAAACCAAGTTATAAGCTTCAAAGATACAACTTTGACTGATCAAGAATGTAACTAGAATAAAATTTCAAGAGAACCATCTTACCTGACTGGAGAACTTCTTTTCCCTCAAGATCAAGTACATTGTTGCTAATAATAAACATATACCATGGCCCCAGTCACCAAACATTACAGCAAATAGAAAAGGGAATGTAATAATTGTGTATACACCCGGATTCGCTTCTTGGTACTTAGCAACTCTGCAACAGAGCATATCAGAGTATTATTGACCAAAATTGACTAGGAATCAAGTTGAAATAGACAAACTAGTTTTTTTTTTTTTTTTTTTTTTTTTTTTGGGGGGGGGGTAGTGGGGTAGCAACACTGCAACAAACCAAATAAGAGAATTATTCACCAAAATTGCATAGGGATCAAGCTGAGATAGATCCGGGGGTGGGGCTAAAAAGGAGCTGTATGCAGACGATGCTGAGAAGTCATAATTCACATTCACAAAAACTATGCACCAGTCCAGTTAGTTATCTCTCAGCCAATAACTTGAAATTAATTTGCAACTTCCAATGTAGATAAAGTTCAAAATAGCTCTTTTCACATGCATGGTCAAATTATGCTAAAAAAAAAAGAGATGCAAAATGGATTTCATGAAGTAAAATACCAAATGGTGAAAGAATAAAGGCCCTTGTTCAACTTCTCATTGCCAAGTTCCATGGGAAAGGGAAGGTGGGATAAGTTTTTCTCCATGGCCTTCAACTGAGATTTGTTAAAACAATGACCCATGTCCACTCCTTGGCTTAACCCAATGCCAAACTCAGACAGTGTTTTAAAAGGCACTCCCAACCTATCTAGCTATATATATACTTCCCTAAAACTCAAGGTGGTGCATAGATATTGAATTTGGAGTCTTGGAGGACCAACAAACTAACAGAATATTGAGAGTTCTAACAAACATTTGACTTATTGTTATTAATTTCAAATTTTGCACCCAACACAAAACTCACCCGTATGCATCCACAATTTCTTGAAAAGCACTAGTGAATTTGTTTGTGCGAAAAAAAGTTGGTGGAGATTCCTTTGTTGGCAGAGTGTGGAATATTGACCCAACTTGTGAGTTGCTATCGTATGTTGCTTGTTCCAGTGTATCTTGAATCTGTGAGGTTGATTGTATATCAGTCAGAATACAATACAATTTTTCTCAAATATATAGCCCTGTGAAGAGTATGAACAGCTGATTTCAACACTCAAATCACAACTTAAACAATGACATGGTGATCAGTTCTGACCTTTCTTGTCGAAAAAACTGGACACCAGCCTTCTGCAACGAGGCACTTCTTTGTCACATCTATACTGAGCATATTCAAGGTATGATAAATGGATTTCTCCTTCTTAACCTACAAACAAAGTTATACCAAAATAACAGCAATAATCAGTGACTAAATGTAGGTTTGCTAAAGAGTTTCTTGACTAGTGAAGACAAAAGGGAAAGTTGCGACAAGAAACGAAGTTATACCAATATAACAGCAATAATCAGTGTCTATTGTAGTTTCTTGACTAATGAAGAAGAGGGGAAACCAGTATAAAAGCAACATAAGGACAGCCCTGCTGAATACTAACCAAATGATGCCATTGTTCAATTTGTGATCCAACGGTGCGCAAGACATTGTCACGGTGATCATGACCAACATCAATAGTAGTTTTTAGCTCAGTCAGTCTTGCAGTAACCTACCAATGAAATCATCAATGATGTTAGTTATTTCAAATATTCACATGAATGATCAAACAATAATTTTTTCAGTAATCAATGTACACAATAGCAGCAATATGTCTTACCAACAAGCAAACGTTTCCAACACCTGATTGAACACTTAGGCTCCATAAATGTTTGGACCCATATAGGTCCTTAAAATTAACTTCAATAACTTTTTTCAGAAATCAATGTACACAAGTTCTCATAGCAGCAGTATGTCTTACTAGCAAGTAGATGCTTCTAACACCTAATTGAACACTTAGGCTTCCATAAATGATTGGACACAGATAGGTCGTTAAAGTTAGCTTCTTCTATGTTCCTACAAACAGTAATAAAGACTCTAATTTAACTTCTTCCTTTTATCAAATCACCCCACTCCAGGAAATAAGAAATTTCTACAAATATTTTATATGAAAAATCAAGATAATAAACTTATTTTTCAAGGAAAGATTTGCCTATCCGTAGAAGGCAATCTAGCAGTATGCATTATTTTTCAAAGAATGGATAGGGTCAACCGGTCAACATAGATGACTTAATTTAGATTAGTTGATTTAGATCTAGTCTATATAATATATTACTAAAGTCTAAAAATGTTTACCTCAAAAACTTACGATTCTATAGATGACTTAATTTAAATAATAGATGACTTAATTTAGATTAGTTGATTTAGGTCAATTTGAATTGGTTATGAATAATATTGGGTTTTATACATACCAATTTAAAAAAACCAGAGGAAAATGCATCACATTGTTCTGAGCTTGGCTAGGGTCAAAGACAAGCTAATGTACTCTCCAATACAGGACCATACATCAAATGGTATATATTGACAATTTTTCCTCCCTTACAAAACTTGGCTGGAACTTCAATATGACCCAGCATCAGTGTTCCCAAATCACTAAAATCTTATACAGCAGAAAATAAATATATAAAATTAAGTCAAAGCTGAATTATACAACAAGTAATACCTCTTTTAACATCTGCTGTTGCTTTTCTGGCTCATCAGAGAAAGCATAACAATTTGCGGCAAACGCATCACATATTTTTACTATTTTGTTTTTTGCCCTCTCTCCAGAGTAGAAGATCACAAATACATTTTTATCAACCTGCACAATCATATAATCCCAACAAATAATCATAAGAAACTAAGCAGATATCTCAAATAAAGAAGAATTAGTGCAATAATATGAAGATCCTCATGAAACATTTTTAGCATAGCAAACGTGCTTGTAAGCTTATATCACATTGGAAATTAAATAAATGCTGATTCTGGCCGTTAGACGGCATGAATAATCACATTCCTTTTCCACTCTAGTTTGGTGAGAGATGTGGAGAGCTAAAGGAAAAAATTCACAAGATCAAAGGAGAGACACAATTTAAATGATTAAAATATTCACCTTGTGGCCTGATGCAGGGTCAACTACAGGGTATTCAAGTACCGCTTGCTTCAGAAAAACATTTCCCCTAGTTGCCCGAAAAAGAATTCTCTCAAATGCCATTGATTTTTCTCTAGGGACCAGACCACAGATGAACCCAAGCCTATACTGTTTAGATGGATCAACCGTCATTTCCTGAATAAAACTAAAGTTAAGCATCCTCCAGAAAGGTAAAAAGAAACGTATTTTGACTGAATTCAGGGATAGCAGCTATATTTACTTGTTCTCGTAATAAAGGACTATCAATTGATTTTTCACCCAAGTGCCCTGCTTCAAATTCTGCCTTCTGAGCTGCTGTACTAAAGGCTGAATGAAAAAACTCTGCAGCCTGAAACAGTTTAATCTTTAATATAGTACAATGACTTCAACAAGATATGTAGAAATTCGGTTAAAATTTTAATGAACTGCACTCATTGGCAGAGGTGAGAGTAACAAGAAGAAAAGCTAGATGCGACTCACTATATTTGGCATCAAGTCATAAAAATTCATTGCATCAGCATCACAATGGAAATTGAACTTACCTTCAGCAGCACCAACTTAAATTCTATAAGCTCATTGTATGTATGCTGTAGGTTTTCACTATTTGCATTCATCTCTAGAAGCTCAGTCTCAAGCTCACCAAGTTTCATCTGGTTGTCAAATTGAGTTATTATTTCCAAGAAGAGGACATTGTCAAAAGAGAAGAGGGAAAACTTAATTTTGCATAACAAAGACAGACTTAAGCCCATATAGCATACCTCTAATGCATCCAAATTGACACTGTCACTTGGAGAAAACCAAGTTGAGGGCAGTAAACCAGCTTTATTCATCTGCTCTTTAAAAAACCTAATCTTGCGAGCCATTTCCCCACATCTTTTAATCTGGATTAATGAACAAAGTCATGATTAATGAACAAAGTCATGAAAAATTGAACAAAGTCATGAGAGAGAGAGAGAGAGAGAGAGAGAGAGAGAGAGAGAGGGGGGGGGGCTGTGAGTTAGGAGCTACAAATGACAAGTTTAACAATTTAACGTTGAGTCCCTTTACCAAGACAAATTTTATACCATGCTAACATTAATGGAAAGCCACACATTTTGCTAATAAGATAAGTTCATGAATTTGGGATTTGATGTTCTTACTATTGTCATATAATTCCCATAATAACTTCTTCAAAATTTCGAAGCAAAATCATGCTAGGATGGGTTTAAAGTTCATTGGAAGATTTCAGATTAAGCTCTTCACGGAGAGCAGGCAAAACAACTCAAGTTAAAAAAAATGACATTATTTTCTTTACCCCAATTTCCCAAAGATTCAAAATGGATATCAATTCATTCATATAAGGAGCTGCTAACAAGAACTGTGTGTAATCACAATGATAGCAGAACGCACCTGAGCAGCATAGGTCATCTGAAATGGGCTCTTTTCAGCATTAAGCTGTAACAGAACAAAAAGAAAGAGTAGTATCAACAAAAGGTCAAATGAACACATTGAATTGTGAACCAAAACCACAACTTGTATACATTATAATGACAATCATAAATATTAATTGCAACAAGTGTTGCCGATTGTGTGAGCAAAAGGCAAACATGATTTTCTGTTAATATCTCTGTGTTCCCTTAAGAATTCCGACACTCATTGAGCCAGAAGTCAGCCAGCCATGATCAGCCAAAAGCTCTTCAATACGAAGTATAATTCAATATACTCCTCCATTCTCCACCCAAAATGAAACCGGAAAAAATGTGTACTCTTGATCCGAATATCCAATGTACATTTGCTTTTTAATACCTTAATCTACTATCTGTGTTCCTATATAATCTAATTCGGCTTTAACCATTTGGCAACGTAAAATTATGATACTCAACACATTTAATTATAAAAGGTTGATGTCCTGAAAATATATATTGATTTGAGACAACTCAAACCGTAATGTGATCAAAGTATAGTAAGTGAATATTGCAAATGTATAAAGTGTATCGATTAAATAGAAACGAAGATAGTAATTCAATATATTCTGATTCAATTACCATTCAATATACACCGAATTACCGAATCAATGATACAATGCACCATAAACCAAATGAAACAATCAAAATCAGAACAATCTAATAAAAAAAAATCCAAATAACTAAATTTATAACACATTATACTTGATCCAAATAACTTTATCAGTAATAAAGCTCATTTCCCAACAAAACAAAATAATATAATCAAAACTCAAAATTCAAAAATAAATCACACATTATATTTAAATCAAAGATCTTACATCTGCATTATTATAGAATAAATCAAAAACATCATAAAAATTGAAAACTTACATCCTTAAATTGGACAATAGAAAGATCGCCGAGATACGAAATTGTACGATGAGCAGATTCAATCGGAATAATCAACTGAACTAACTGCATTTCTTCTGATCTCATTAGATCCATCTTCGGCCAACTGCTAGTATCCAACATTGTTGTTCTTCCCTAAATCTGTCGATTTTCTGAAGATTCAAAACCCTAATTGAAGAAAAATCAGCTCTGAATCTTCAGAAATCATCGATTTTAATGAAACTGAAAATCGATCAGTTCATAAAATATAATTAGAGCATGAAATTAGATTTTATAGAATTAATTGAAGTGGAAATTTATTGGATGGTTGATAGACCGACTAATGAAAAAGAAATGAAAGATTGTTTTCGACGCTTTTCAAGCTTATTTTAACACTATATTTTTTGGTGTCTTAAAATGTAAATTTGAATTTGACTTACGACCGAGAAGGAAGCGACGATGAAGGTTCGACTTCGGAGTTTCACAAGAAACAACGCGCCGACAATTTTTATTTTATTTAATGAAACTTTAGTTTAATGCAAGATGAATAAATAATTCTATATATAGAATGTTATTAATGTTTTGTGTGATTTTAGTGGTTGATATCTTACGTTGGATAATTAAATGTTTGTTTGATGGTTTTCTATTACTACTATGGAGTAATTTATTTCTTAGGTTTAAATTTATTGGATTTTATGAACGAGTAAGATGGGAGGGGATTCAAAGGTTCTTGAACTAGTGATATAGTGTGACCTATCATGCAATGACTCTTCTCGTGTGGTTTTGTGTTTCTAATAGAGTGATATGTTGTTTACTTGTTTAGTTGGATGATAGTGAGGCTGAAGGGCAAATGAATGTGATAGAACAAACATGTTGAGGATTGATTGAGTTTATGTGATAGTATGGTACTTTATATAAATCTCTCTTTTATAGGAAATACTCCGTATATTTTAAGTCCACAAACAAGGTCGTCCAAATAAATTGCATACTAAAAGTAATTAGTAATAGGAAATTTTATGTAGAACTCCCTAAAGATAGGGTCATTTGTGAACAACTACCCATTTTTTTTATTTGTTTAGAACTACCCGTAAGTTTGGGAAAGCTTGGGTAACACTACCCACTAACGTTTTTCGTCCAATTAAAAAAGTTATTTTGGCTCAAATTTTCACTTTTTTCAATTACAATGTACAATTAATGATAAAATAAGCAAAAAAAAAAAAAAAAAAAAAAAAAAAAAAAACCAATTCAATTAAACCCCAAACCTTAGAAATCAAAATCCCCAAATAATAATAAACTCATGAACCCTAAAATAAATTCTAATTAAAACCCTAATTAGGTTATTAATTAAGGTAAATTAAAACCTTTATGCAAATTGAAAAAGTTAATTGGGTGGCAAAAGTGAAAAAATTGGGTTCCGATAACGTCTTAATTGGACGGAAAATATTAATAGGTAGTGCTATCCAAACGTTTTCAAATTTGTGGGAAGTTCTAAACAAATAAAAAATAAAATGGGTAGTTGTTTACAAATGACCTTATCTTTAGGGTAGTTCTACACAAAATTTCCTTAGTAATATTAGAAGTAACTATTCTATTATTCTATAAGGTGAACATTATTTTCTTAGCTTTCTCTAATGCTGGACACTAAAAAAAGGGATTGTAATAGATTTTAACAACCTTCAAATTTAAGCTGTCTAAGATTTTCTTTATCTCAATTATCTATTCTATTAGTGTTTAATGATTTCGATATAAATGTATATAAGATGCTGTCAATTTATTTTGAAATCTTAGCTTATACTTAGTACATTTGCTTCACGAGCTAATAAATCTAATAACTAACCATAGTTGAGCTTGTATAGTTATTGCAAAATGGATATGTTAACCAAATTAAATTCTTTACTCTACTAGCAAAACACGTTGCATTCTGTTTTGGAAGGAAACAAAAAAACCTTGTGAGGGTAGACTTAATTAAATAGCCAATTTTTTTATTTTTGAACAGGAAGAATAATATCATTAAATAAAAGCCATACGGCATCTACAATAATAAGGATTTGTAAACCACAGATTTAGAGAAAATATCATAACTTTTACAATCAAAATCATAACTAATTTGCATATTTGGCATAGCTCATACTCCACCACTTCAAGCTTGACGCGAGCAATGATTTTCGATGTCTTTGCATCTTTCCAAGTTGAGACCTCCGCAATCTGCGCTGATGTTTTGATCGACCGGTTGATGACAAATCCCAGACCCATAGGAATCCAAATCACCTTCCCAATTATTATAAGAACCCTAAAAATAAAATTCTCATCCATAGATGAGAATCAAAATCCCGAAAAATTGGGAAAAACCCAGAAAATTGGGACAGACTCTCACAGATGGAGAGAACAAAACAAAACAAATAAACCAAAACGTAAAACAAAACAAAAAAACTAAATTGAATTAAAGAAAAAGGGTCGAAAATAGTCTAATTTCCGAAGAAATTAGACTATTTCCGGCCTAAACGACCAAGAAAATTAAAACCCTAGAAGAGAGAGGAGAGAGAAGAGAGAAAAAGGGGCGGCCGAAGGTTTACTCCTATTATACTTTATTTAGCTAAAAGGTAACTAATTAAATAGCCAATTTCAATACACTAATAGAAAATAAAAAATAAAAATAAAAAATAAAATAAAATAATGGATTAGATAACAAAAGAGTTGACTTTTAACCTGGGATTTTTTTTTTTTTATCATTATTATTATTTTATTTGGTATTCTCATACTTGTGTTTAGTTTTGTGGTTGCCAAAAAATTGTTATAACAAGGTGAACAAGCTATTTAGCAACCTCATCTAAAGCTTTAAATAGTAGCTTGAAAAGTTCAAATGATCCAAGCACATCAAAATTATATACCAATCTACGGATATAAAACTAAAATTCACTTTTATAAATAAATTATCGGTCAGCACCTTTGTCACGGGGTAGAAATTTTACTAAAACTAAAAGTGTAGCAACATGGTGTTATTAAGTGCTATCAATTTGTTAAAAGTTTTAATAGATTAATCTTATCAAAAAAAAAAAAAAGTTTTAATGGATTAAAACAAATACGAGTACTTTACATCTTTCCATTATTTGTCCTTTTTTCTTACTTACCCTCTTCTACAAAGACTGAACATTTTAAAAGGCACTTGATCAACATCAATATATAAAATTGAAGTATAATTTTAATTAATAATTTATAAAATCAATTACGTAGAATATACACATATATAGGTGACTCCTATTGCAAAGGCATCTCTAAGATATAGATCATGATTGATATGTCAACTTATAAAGATTCTAATCTTAAAATTTGATAAAAATAATTGGACTCTAATTTTATACACTGCACACTACTAAAGCTTAGTTAGGTCTCTACTTCTCTAGACTTTCTATATATTGGTTATTTGCTTGCTTAATTAATCTCTCTAGGCAGTTTTCTTTAGCTAATTCAAACTTTCTGTTTCTCCTCATCACATGGTTTGTCTTGTTGCCGCATAAACTGAACCATCAAGCTTAAACTTATAACCTTAAGTCCGATCCATGGAGGATAAATGTATATAAATACGGAGTATATAACGCATATTAAACGATTAAGATGAGTAAATGGCCTAGCTAGTTAACTCGAGCCGGATTCATACAATGGTACAATGTAACTACACTCCTCCGCCCTTAGATATGATGAAGGGTATGGAAAATGGAAATAGTTATGTAATGTATCATACTTCGTATATGTCTTTCAAAACATCCTTAGCTTTCACCATTATTTCAAACTAACTTTCAAATTAGCTAATTTCATGTGATTTTTAGAATTTAATTTGCAATATTTTTTGACTCGCCAAAAAATTTGAAAGTTAGTTTGAAATAATGGTTGAAATATATTATTTTAAAGGTGCTTCAAATGCCAATACATCATTGTTGTTAATAAGCTAGCTAGTTTTATTAAAAAAAAAAAGATGACAATATGATGAGCAAACTTAGGCATCACCATTCACCAACTTCTAGTACTGATTAATTGGTAAAGCTATGTTCTACCCAATTTATTTATCGTGAATAAGTTTAAGATAGTATGTAAACATAAGTTAAGTTCGTAAAATATAAATTTAGGTTAACGAGTTATAATATGTCCATCATTGCAAGAAGACTTTTGTACTCCGTAGTTAATATTGATGAATTTCAAAACATTATTCTGTAAACAATAGTAAGTACCTAATAGCTTTGATAAATTATATACATAAACAACCTCATTTAATACTAAATTAGGTCATAAGCAACACCTTTTAGTTTGTTTTATTTTCTTTGTAAAATAGATCGATAAACACATACTAATAAGTATTAATAATCTAGTACATGTACTATTATTGATCCATTTCTCCAAGTATGGTTTTATCTACATACTCAACATGAGTAATCTAATCAATCCCCGCTAAATTAAAATATCCACCATTATTAAAGACGAGTAGTAGTATTGACTATTGTATTTTGTGTGAGTAAATTATACTCCATAAAATACTCATTTATATTTTGATAAAGACTTTTCCACACTACATTGTACTTGGGATTTGAAACTCTTCACAATCAAATAACAACATACACATCCCAAGCCTAGAGATTAAAGTGTAAAGATCTTCACTTCATTGAATTCTCCATAAATCCACACAAGCCTATTGAGACTAGCCCACACAACACAATCAATGATACTCAAGGTTATTATCATCATTATTATTTTTTAAAAATTAATTATTAAAAAAATAAAAGAAAAGAGAAAAGGAAGATTAAATATTATTGGTGACAAAAAAAAAAAATTTGAAAGAGGAAACAGGAGATTGTCAAGAAATCAAACAGTTAAACACATCCCTTGACTTGCGGATATACGCATGAGCTGTGTGTAACTCTTTGCTACAGTCTTTAACGTACACCTTAATGTCAAGGTTACCATGCATGTTTGTCTTTCATACACAAAATATCACCCAAAACATTGCTACTCACTTCTTATTTATTTGACCAATTTCAAAGTGTACATTATTTATTTTCTAATGCACTAAAACTTATGCAAGTCAAAAAGCCTTCAAAAGATACTTGTATATACACATTAAACAGAAAAATCAAGTATAGATCGATTGGACTTATCGACGATCTTTCTTTATAGTCTTGTTCAAAATAATGGATAATTACACGGCGCACATTTACTTTCAAGATCATTTATTTACTTTTGTGATGGTAAATTCTATCATTGCATACGCTAATAACAAAAAATTAGTAAAATTCATACACCGTATAAGTTATATATACGAGTATTTTTAGTCAATTAAGGGCATGTTCTGATTTACTGAACCGAGCTTAACTAAAGTGAGCTTAGCTGAGCTGAACTGAATAGAACTGTAATGAATTGTTTATGAGAGAAGAAAATTAGGAACTGAACTAGTTGAAGTTGAACTGAACTAAAACTAAGATGAAGAGAACAGTCCCTAAGTTTAGAAAAACTTATTTAGGATATACTTCGTGCTATGTAGTATGTACTTTGTCCTACCAACACCAATTATATTATTACTTCTATCTTATTTCTACAATCTTTATTTTGAATATCACGTAATTTCTATATTCCGACTTACTTTGTGATGAATAAGTTTACAAGTCATTGATATTAAACACAAAGTCACAAACGAAAGAGAATGATAAAAGTCGTTTACTGTATGAATTATGAAACAATGAATAACTGGGAATCCAAAATAGCGAAGAAAAGAGCAGACAAAGACATTAATAAGATCCAGCTACTTGATGCATCATTCCTCTAAAGCATGCATTTGGAGAGACTTTGCATGAAAACCTTTCCTTCTTTTATTTTTCCTCTTTAATTATTCACGGCATACAACCATTCCACTTTTGCTCTGCACGTTTTTTCTGTAGCAATTACATAACCTTTTTTTTGAAGAACATAACCTAATATCTCATAACAAGCTACTACATTATATTTTTTTCAAACAAATTAACTCTCTGTGAATTATATTCATAAATCATGCATGTTCGTTCATTATTATTCAACCTTTAATTTAATTTGTGTGGCCGAGAGTAATCACTATTTTATGCAATTAACGCAGAAGAGTCCGATAATCAAATAAACTTGAATGGTATAGCTAAAATATATATTAACAGTTGGATAAGCAAGATGGAATATTCGTACATAGAGGTGTAACAAAGTACATGTAATACAAATTAAGAAGCTAATGAATTGTAATGTTGTTATTGTTATTATTGCTATTACCCTTCTAAGTAACCAACAACAAACATCTAAGCATAAGATTATTACTATTTGGTTAGGTTAATAAAGAATAAGAACCCTACTTAAGTTTATTACTACTTAATACTCCTATAACTAGTGTTATCCTTTTGAGAAAAATTAAAAGTATTTAGATTATTATTAACCATACATCAATCATTAACCAACATGCATGAGCCCTCTAAAAGTTGCATGCTACTAATCTTTCACCAAAAGATCTTGAAAGTTCTTATAAAAACTCTTAAATATTATACAAATCATACAATTATTTTCACAAATATGAACTTGAAATATAGTACTTTTTATATTACACAAAAGTATAAAACCACTGCACCAAAAAAAATTATACTGTAGTTATTTTTTATATTTAAAACAAAATGATTTAACAGAAAATAGAAATTCCAGTCATTTTCTCTCATACTACTGCAAGTTCCTGTCTGAAAACAACTAACAATTTGACAAAACCAACTAATTTCAGAATTTTTTTTAAAAAAAATCATCATAAAGCAGTTTGAGTTTTCTGTGTACAAATTCTAGAGTGCAATCAAAAATGTGTCAGAAGATGAAAGAGTATATATAAGCCAGAATAAGGGGGCAAAAAGAAAGAAAAACTAAAAAGATCAGAAAAAAAAATGAGGAAATTTGAAGATGAAATGCAAACAAACTAGAGAAAATTTTGGAAGGAAAATAAGGATATATATGAGCACATGATATAGGTCAGAAAGTTTTTCATAAATTAGGTAATAAAAATTTTGTCCACTTATATAAATTTTATTATTATTTTTTTCTCTTTAATTTAAGTTAGCAAATCTAGTAATCTATATATAAAAAAGCATCTTTTCCTAATAAATCATATGCTATCATATATCTAGTTTGTTTTTGGTACCTTTATTTTACTAGTTTAATTGCTGCATGCAGTATGTACCCTAATAATTATTTGTAGTTGACAATTATACAATTGCAAAACCCCAAATCATAACATTTATCATACTGTATAATTTCTTTTTCTTTTTTTTTTCTCACTTTCTATTGTTACAACAAAAACAATCACATGCAATACTTACACATAGTTTTTAATGCTTCTACACAACACACCCCCATGCTAATAAGCTAGCTAAGCCGGCCCTTCTCTTATGAAGGTCACATCCTTGCATGTCTACTTCAACAATATTCAACCTATCATTCATTTTCTTATTTTGGATGCATATATACACGATATGATGTACGTTATTATAAAAATAAAACTAATACAGATACTCTATATGTCTAGCTATCCGTCCTAATGCAATGATCATATTAATAGTGTGAATTGATCGAACTAGTTGTGTGAATCGAATATCTTCTATGATATAAGGATGTGTTAGGCCGGCCCTCCCTAGGGTTTAACCTAATTTTTTCTCTTATAGAAAAAATGTGGATCAAATATGGATACAGGCGGTTGATCATTAAATATGTAGTTACTCTTCTCTTTGACTCGCTTTCATCCATGCATGTGTTGCCCTAATCGACTAGATCTAACTTCTGAATAAGTTTGACACATCAACATACAAGCTTAAGGATTCATTTTACACTAATCCTCATATGTACCTTAATAATATCCATTTCATATTACTAGACCATGCAACTAACCCATCCCATCAATTTTCCATCCAATTAAACACCATAGCAATATAAAGATCATCAACTTTGTTTGAAACACGCACCTCCTTAAGTAAAACTTAATCAAATCATAATCTTAAACGACAGTTAATACACAAATGTGTCGAGCAAGAGATCAATAATAAACACCAAATGTAGCTAGCTTAGAAAGAATGCAAGCTCTTAGAGCTATTTAAATTTACCTAATGGCTAAATGCATGTCATTCAATTGTGTGGTAGTAGAAGTAACAAGTAACACCATACTATATAATCTAATGTCTATTTGTATAATGTAATGTAATCATTTAAAAAAAAACAATAGAATTGAAGGAATTAAAAGGGTCATGTCATGAAATAAATGTCATAGAAGAAAGTGTAGAAAACAAGTACAGAGTGCAGAATGCAGTAGTAGTAAGATTTATACGTCCGGCAAACTGACGGATAAGCTGGAAAAAGTGGCTGCCTCGAGTTCAAAACCCCAGTGCAGAAAGCAAACCACCAATTCAACTCATTATCAAACACTCACACTAACAATTCTTCATTTAATTCCATTAAATAAATAAAATAAACTTTGAGCATATATATGAATGAAACAAAAAGCAAAGACAAAATCATAGATTTTGCACATATCCACATGCTACCACAAACAACAAATAAATAGAATCAAATAAAACATTGAAATCAAATATTTTAACTTGTCTAATCAATTAAGCAAAGGAAATTAATTAATTTAAGTTTGATTTCAAACATGAAATCAAATTAATTAACATAAACCAATGTCATAGTGAATAATTAACATGATGATGATCATCATCAATTCATCATCATACCTAAACAATATCCAATAATAATAATATTAGAAAATCACCTAATTAAAGATAAGAAATAATAAAAAAAAAAAAAAAAAAACACTTCTTTTGTAAGACTAGCTAGACCTTGCCAAGTTCCCAATGACCAAATTGACAAATAAAATCTCCTAGAACATTACAATTTTTTTTCCACATTTTTTTTTGCTCATCATCAAATGATGGATTAGCTAGTTAGATTGAGAGAATGTGTGTAGGAAATTTGGATAATCAAGATCTTGGGGGTGGGAAAAATTGCGTACCAGCTAGGAAAGCATTGATAGGAGTTGGATATATGGACGAGTTATTATTCGTACCCATCGGGTCAAGTAAACTAGCTGTTGCAGTAGCTGTTGTCGTGTTATTATTAGTACTACCACTACCAACCGTACCCATTAGGTCAGTAGTGGTAGTAGCCGCGGTTAACATAAGACTGTGTTGTTGAGACCTACCCCCGGAGGAGCTTTCACCACCTCCATAGCGTGTTTCGGGACCTTGATCGTAGAGGATCCCCTTGAAGAGATGCCCTCCTATGTTTACTGCTGTTTGATACGCAAATTGTTCGTCTGGATCATCCATTGGACTCACCCGAACGCATCGGAAAACCGCTGGAGAGTTAACTTCCGGTGGAAAATTACCCACTTCCAACCCTAGTACATTACATAAAACAAGTAAACAACATATTTTTTCAATAATTGTTATTATTACACATAAAATAGATGTTAAAAAAAATGTAGTGATTATTATGAACATGAAATTATAACTGATGGAATATTATGATTTTAGGATTATTTTTTGGGGGTTTTACTCTTGAACAGTAAGATAGAATAATAACTCAAAAGAGAAAGAGTAAAGCAAGATGTTTTTGAGAGAGTACTATAGAAGTAGACTAGTAAACATGCAAATGATATGATATACTCTTCCAAAGTTATGATAAGAATTTTGTTGGTTAGTAGTAAATTCATAAAATTTTGAGTGACAATTTTCATAGAATGACACATGCCAAACTATTTACAAAATACAAAAACTAAAAATTAAAAAAAAAATATATGAAAAACACAATAATTTCTTCAATGATATTTCAAAGAGAGGAATTAAATGGGTTGAGATCAAATCCATCAATCAAAACAAATACTATCAAAGAACTCAACCCAATCATTCTGTTTACCACTTTGTGTGTATTTACATTCAAACAAAACAAGATAAAAATTAATAACAAATAAATAAAATTAAAAATTGGGAGGGTAGCTACATAGATAGACGAGGAGTGATCCACTCCCCGTCTAATAGTCTACCCTCCCAAATTTATGCTTAATTACCTGCCGTAGTATTAGCGGCAGTGAGGACGCGAGAATTACTCCGGTTTTCTCGCGTCCTCTTTTCACCTCCAATTCCAACAGATGATCTCATCATTTGTTGAGTCTGCTGCTGCTGCGGTTGTTGCTGCTGTTGTTGTTGTAGCACGGTTAACTGCTGCTGGCGCTCACGGCGCTTAGCGGCAGGGACCCACGTACTCTTAACGTGAGTAGGACAATCAAACCCACGACTCTTACAACAAGTCCTACACCTAAAATGAACACAATCTTTTTTTGCTTGGTTACCACAATCTTGACAATTCATACCCCCAACACTACCACCTAATTGCCTAAAACCCGAGGATCTACCACTACCACTAGATACGACCGTATTGTTGTTGTTATTGCTGCTGTTGTGATCGGTGTACTCATCAATGCCAAAGATCCTACGACTAGTAGTCGCGGCCGAAGACGGGCCTACCACCATGGACGGCTGTGATTCCCCTAGAAAAACATGCTGTTGATGATGATGATGGTGGTGATAATCTTGATGAAGGTGTAGCTTTGGTACATGGTGATGATGGTGGACCTGCACGTATTGTTGCCATATCTCAAAACTACCTTTTGGGTAGATCTCCTCACTGTTATTATTATTATTACTATTACTATTATTCCGAGAATAAAGTATTAAACCCGGATTATTATTATTATTATTATTATTATTATTATTATTATTACTATTATTATTCGGAAACCAGGAATTCTGAATTTGATTTTCAGAATTAGCGGAGGGAGTATTATTATTATTATTATTATTATTTTGCGGGTTTTGTGAACTACCGCTCCCCGGTGTTCCTAATGAGAAAAAAGCAGCCATATTATTCTCATCAGATTCATCTCAAAAATTTCCAATTCAAAACCAAAATAAAAACAAAAATATTTTTTCTTAGGTTAAAATAAAAAAAAATAAAAATTAAAAAGAATTTATATTATTTCTCTCATGAAATCAGTTGTAATAAAAGCAAAAACTGCAACGCCGCCAAACAGAAGCAGCAACGTTGTTCATTTTTCTTTCTTACCTCTGAACCAATTTTTTGACAACAACAGCAACAAAGAAAGGAAAACAGAAAACTGAAAACACTGAATTTCTCTGAGTTGTTTTGGGTTTTTGGTTTTGTGTTGTTGTAAGAAAATGAGAAGTGGGTTTTTATTTTTTGGGTTTGATATGATTTTCTCTCTCCTAAAATGAGTTGCTCTTTACTATTGCCAATTCTCTACAGTTAATCTAGCAGTGCCATGAATCTCGTCATTGAAATAATGGATGTTGGCCGTTGGATGATGAATCGGATGGTTAGAGTTGTTCCACGTGGCAGGGAATCAGCTTTTGGGTCTAATTCGTCCTTGCACCGAAAAACCCGCTCTACTTTTTCTCAGCTGTGTCAAGTTATTATACTCTCTAGTTTTACTCATATTAATCACAAAAAATGTGTTCATTTTCTTGATTAATTAGTGAAGTTATTTTTAGCTACTAATATAGCAATTTTAGTTTCCTGAATCATAAAAGGAAATGCAAAATGTTGAAAATTGTGGTAAGGAAAAAAAAAACATAATTTATGAATTATACAAAGTATAATATACAAAAAAAAAAAATAAAAAAAAAAAAAGAAGTGAGGTAATAAATCATATTATTAACCACCAATGATGCACATTGAAAAGTAAAAACTATGCAAAAACCAAGAAGGTAAAACATTAAACAATGAGATGATTGTATTATTTGGAAGACAAAAAATAAAAATAAAAATAAAAAAAATTGGGATGAACTTATACTTTTCTCAATAGGAGCTGACTCGTATTATCGATTGAAATTTTAGCTTAAAGTGTATATTTTAATTACAAAATTAATAAGTAATTAGCCTAAGTGATATCTTAAGTAGTTGCATGTCTAATTAACTCCTTGAAATATAAATTTCATAATTCATTATGCGCATTTTCATAATCTTATATAAAAATTAGCTAATCCACAATAAGTAAACTATAATATACTTAATTAGTTGATTGTATAAGCATGATTTGTTTTTACTGAACAACTTATAAGAAATTTCTAGGGTTTGTAAAATTTCTTATAAGTATATTATAGTTTACTTATTGTGGATTATAAAATAAACACAAGTTCGGTGTTTACTTCTTTTTTTCTGGATCCTATTTTTCTATTATTATTTATGTATGACCTATGCATATACGTCTACATATATTAGCAAGATTTTACAAGAATAAATTACTACTCCCTCCGTTCTTTTATTAGAGTCTCATTTTTCTTTATTATGTGAGTAAAAAAAACGTTAAAAATGGAATTCTAATAAAAAACAGAGGGAGTATTAAATTATTGTACATAATACGTATTTGGGCATAATTTATTAGTGAATTTTAGGTTAATGCACAAGAGAACATACATAAATTCAAGCATTGATATTGGCATATTGCCCCCTTAAGTTTCTTACCGCAAGTCCGCAACGCCACAGTGCATGCATGATTGGTGACTCAATTATGTATCAATAGGATTATTTCTACAATCATTATTATTATTATTAATAAATTTTCTTTGATTTGATTTTTTCTTGTTGTTCTCCTTAATTAACTTCTTACAAGTTGTTTTAATTTATCTCTGTTGAGATTCAAGTTCAGATAAGTTGTGAAAAGGGTTAATCAGGGCTACCCAAGTTAAATTTATAACTAAAAATAAGTTCTAATAAGGGTTTTCGAATAAGTTAAGATAAGTAAAAATCAGGTAAATATAACACACCCTAATGAAGTTTTTAATTTCAACTCATTTTTGACATCTTGAAATACCCTTTTATATTATACCAAGTATATATTATAAGATTTGTACTTGTATTAATTACGTAGTATTACTTTTTATTGGTAAATTTTTGTGATTTAAACTCAAAGACTAATGAAAACAGCTTTTGACTATTGTAGTTTTGTTGGAATTTTCCAAAGTACTGAGCTCATTGGGTATTGTATTAGTGAACTTTATTCACTTGAATTGAATTTAATTAGTGAACTTTACCTTGTGATTGTAGCAAGTATTTTAGAAGTCTATATATTCTTTATTAGTTTCTATTTAGTTGACACATTTGTTTGATGAACAATATAACTTTTAATGAACATATAACAAAAGCAGTAAAAACTTGATATTTTGAATTTATAGTAGGAGACAAACTTAATACTTGATCTACTTAATACATGATTATATTAACATGCAATTAAATTAAAGAAGAACGTGCAAACAATACTAAAATTAGTATGCGTCAAAAAAAAAAAAGGAAGTATTAGAATAGCTAACTTTTTTTTTTTTAAGTAGAATAGATAGCTAGTACGGAGTGTATCATATCATAATTTTTAAATCAAGAATTTTAATGACAATTAGTCTATCCAAGCAGTAATTTTGGATATCCAAATATTCTAATATTTTGTGAATTTTTTTTTTTTTTTTACAGAACTAAACTTAAATTATTGTTATTAAATTCCTATTATGTATCTTGTTTATTTTTATTTTTTTCAGACCATCTTTAAATTATAATTTTTACCCCATTGAAAATATTTTTGCTAAAATACACTTATTTTTATTAAATAGAAGATTATTTTTGTAAGATAAAGTAAAGAGGGGCTAACATAGCAATAAAATTTAACTTGTACTCCCGTATCTTTTTCTAATTTATTACTACGTTGATAATTAAATTTGTGTGTTAATTAAGTAGGTCAAAATGGATAAAATATCACAATCTTAAAAATGTAATCCAGCAAATAACAAAAGAGGAAAATGTAATCAGACGGCTGCCAGTGTCCTGCTCCGGTGATCTTATGACAGGCGTCAAAAATAATTGGACCCACTTTTTCTTCGATCTTTGTATTGTTCTCTGACTTTTTTTTCCTTTCTAGAGACATAAGGCTGGTTTTTCTATCAACTTATTTTTCCTCCTTATTTTATTTACTTATTTTAACTCTGTTTATTTATTTTTTAATACTTTTAATTTTTGGTGGATTTGAGACTGGAGGCTGTTTTCCACACTTTCTTGCTCATTTTTTTTCTTCAAAAAAAAAAATAAAAATAAAATATAAATTCTTTTATGTTTCTTTTAAAGAAAAAAAAAATCCAAATTCTTCAAAGGTATTTACCCTTTTCACTGAAATTTTGCAGGAAATTGATGATTATTTTACTATTTTATCTCAAATTAAGTTTAATATTTGTGTTTTTTAAATTTTCATTTTAAAATCTTATTACTCCATTAATATACAAGATTTAATAATATCAATTGAGGTGATAAATTTGTTTCAATATATGGAATGTTACCAAGTGTTGTTATGAATTGAATAAATGAGTTATATTAATAATTTTGGGCTATGTATAATATCGGCCTACTTTGTATATCCATATCGGCCTATTCACTAGATCCACATGCATAGACAATTGCTTTTGGCCACGTGGACATCTATCATCCACTTGACAAGATACCCACGTGGCACCTGCTTTTAGTATTATATAAATGTATCCTCACAATTCACTATAAATATAATGACTAAGGGTTTGTTCTCATTGACTGAACTCAGCTGAACTAAACTGAACTGAACTGAATTGAGCTGAACTAAACTGAACTGAACTGAAATGAATATTTTATAAGAGAAGGAAATTAGGAGCTGAGCTGAACTGAACTGAATTGAATTTCAACGTAAAAGAATAGGCCCTAAATCACTCAAATTACGCATTATATCTTTATTGAACTGAACTAACTTTATCATTAGAGCATTTTTCCTATACTATGACAATCCCCAAGAGTATCTTATTAACGTTGACTGTTTGTTCAAAGTTCAATCTAGACACAAAATCAAAACTAGCCCCAAACACAGTCGTACAAGTTCCCTGTTCATATCGGAACAAATACATGTTTCAAAATTGCAAAATTTTGTGATTAAACGTAACACCTAATTAAATATATTACAGAGTAATAGTAAATGCTAATCATCAAGTCATATCTCACATGATTATATTTCGAGTAATGTCAAATGTTACGCTTAATTTGAAGTAAAGGAAGTAATTAATTAGTGTTAATTTGTGTAATATCATGACTTGAAACGAGACGTTTCATGTATTGCTTTTATAGGGTAGCAATCTATGTTCCTATCTCTACATTCTTGGGCTAATTATTGAAAGGTTGACCTATATTCATCATTAGATAAAATTTCAGTGTGATTAATATAATGGTTAAAATTTAATTAAAACTTATCAGCGTACCAGCTGGTTTTGGTTAACAATCCACTCCCATATTAGAGGTCAACTTTGTTTGACAACATGAATCAATTAACCTATAGCTATAGTATGTGACTGTTTACGTTAGGATGATAACATCACTAAAAGTTATTCATTCTACTCCGTAGTATAAGTTACTCGCTCTGTCCCTTATTTTTTACCTCATTTGACTTTTTATCATCTTCAAGACGTGTCTTCAAATGTATATATATCTTCATTTATATATGCGTAAAAATTATAAAAATTTAATATTAATAAAATATATAATCAGACGATTCTAACAAGATTCCACTAAAATATATTATCACTCGTAGAATAACGAGAATTCATGGTCAAAATTTTAAAAGTTTGACCCATAATTTGCAATGGGGTAAAAAATAAGGAATGAAGGGAGTATATATTACGAGTACATTATTATAAGAATGAAAATTGATGCATTACGATAATGGATAGGAGTGATAAAAAGAATGGAGGAGTGATAGACTATGTTAATTTATAGTACGAGTAGCATTTCAAAATATTAATTTTGTTTTCTCTAATTCTACTTGAATATATGTGCTCCATTCCAATATTATTCCACTTTGATCATCATCTTGTTCATTAATACTTCATCAATCCTCTTTTAATTGTAACATTTGAAATTTTACAATTTTGTTTCAAGTGGCCATTTTTGTTGATTTATATGTTGTGCAAAATATAATCATACTTAGGCTCTGTTTGGTTTGATGTAAAAGGTTTTCATGGAAAATGAATTTTCCATTTTTTTTCCCATTTTCCTTTATTTGGTTTGTTAAGGAGCGGAAAACAATTTTTCAAGGGTGGAAAATTCCATCTTTAATGATGGAAAACATTTTCCTTCCAAAAACAAGGGAAGCCACATTTTCCTCTCTCTTCCTTACCTCTTTTTTTACTTCCCTCTCATTCATCCCTACATTTCCACTCTTATTTTTATTTTTCTTGGACTTTTCTTGTATGCAACCAAACAATGGAAAACTAATTTGCAATTGTGTTTTTCCTTGAAAATATGTTTTCCATGAAAACTAATTTTCCATTGAAAATGTTTTACGTTAAACCAAACGGGGCCTTAATTCAAATCTAACACAACTAAAATTGAAATACTCTGAAACATGCAAATTCTTATTATAGACCCATTTTGA